AACTGATACCCACAAACAATCCAGCAAAAAACTTCCTACAACAAATACAAGATGTAAAAAAAAACCCATTTAAAAGAAAACATTGGGGAAGCTAAGCGTAGACATAAATTCTACTATAATCTAAGGAGAAGAGCTTCACCACAGTATCAGGCCAGAGATTTAGTTTGGCTCTCTACTAAAAACCTAAATCTAAAGACACCAACTAAAAAATTCAGTAGTTTGTTCATTGGGCCTTTCCCCATACAGTCAATTATCAATCAATCAGCAATCCGACTGACACTACCACAGGAATTGAAGATTCATACTACTTTCCACATTTTTTTAGTGAAACCGTACAAACCAGAAGCTTTCCCGGATAGAACACCACCACCTGTTTCTCCGGTACTTGTCGATGGTAAAGAAGAATATGATCCTCGTTCCGGGTCTCGACACAGGGTTCCACATCCTCTCCCGCTGCATCATCCGGCTCCTCCCCCTGAGATGGCTTAAGCCACGAAATTCAATTGCCTGGCATTCGTGCAACGAGAGAAGACGCGCCATTACACGCTGCCTGGCTTCCTGATTGGCCGGGAAGCCTGCTCCATGCTCCCTCGTCACTTGACTCGCTGCCTGGTTTCCTGATTGGTCAGGAAGCTGGCCAATCAGGAATTTGGGCACCGTGTAATGACGCGGCACCCGGCTCTCTGATTGGCCCGGGAAGCCAGCTTCATGCTCCCTCACCTCCCAATCAGGAAGCCAGGTTCTGCATCATGACACGGCGCCCGGCTTCCTGATTGACCAGAAAGCCGCCTCCATGCTTTCTCGTCATCTAGCAGGTTCCCTGCTAATCGGGAAGCCTGGTGGAGAGTCTTTACATGTCGCCCAGCTTCCTGGCTAATCAGGAAGCCAGGTGGCGAGTCATTACACACCACCTGGATTTCTTAATGGGACTTCCGGTATCGGTATTCGGTATCGGCGAGTACCGGGGAAAAAAATACTGGTACTCTAGTACCTAGGCAATTAACCATGTACGCTTTTTGGCAATAACCTTTAAAGATGTTTAGTCCTCAATTATATAATGTAGGGATTGTGTAGAGTATCCTATTGTGCCTTAGTAACATGTCTTCTTATTGGGGGATTGCCAGGGTTCCACCCTGACTTTACTGGTTTTCAGCATTCTGGCTTGGCTGCCATTTTACTCACCTGTTTCCTTCTTTGCCTGAGCAGACTCTGGAACGTTGCTCACTACTCCCAGGCTCCCTCTTATGGTCAGAAAGGAGAGCATCATCTGAGAGAGTCAGATGGGAGTTTCCTATCCCTGAGTGATGACATCACCCCACTCACTATATATAAACCACTCAGTCCAGTCTGACGTTGCCCTTGCGTGGCCTTCCTGCTAGTGCATTCCTGCTGCTCTGAGTATCCTGATTCTGTGTATGACCCGATCCTGGCTGATGTTCTCCTGTGGCTCCTGCTCCTGGCTTGTTCCTGACCATGCTGATTTCCTGGCTCCTGCTCCTGGCTTGATCCTGATGCTGATCTCGGTGTTCCTGACCTGGCTTGGGTGACTACCCACTCCGGCTCCTGACTCTGGCTTGTTCCGGTTTATGATACTGCTTGCTCCTGTGGACACTGTTCCTAATAAGTATTTTAACTAGCACCTTTTGCTTGTCTGGTTTTCATTATGCTCTGACAGGGACGTAGTGGACCTTTCTTGCCAAGTATACTCATTATCTCTTTTTTTCTTAAAATGTGTGCTATCTTTAAGTATTTGATCATATTAGGCTGTTACTAATATCCCGTCTGATACATGTGCATCAACTTTCTGCGGGGTAGGTGACATCATCAGCAATCTATTAATGCTAATACATATATGTAGAATTCCTCTTTGGATGTATACATCATATATTTTTTATGATTAACTAGATCTCTTCCACCTCCTGAGGAAGCGATTTGAGCGCGTAACGCGTAGAGATTACCATCCACTCTTTACCATCTTCAGATAAGGCTGTTTCACACATATGATTCGGAAAATATTTTTCATTTACTATTTATCATGTTCTCTTTCCAATTATGCTCATGTAGAGTTATCGCCGATGGTGTTGTCAATACCTATCATTCCTCTGTGTTCAGAGGTGATTATCATGTTCACCTATCAGTAATATCTATATGAATTATCCAATCATGTTTGTGTGATTTTATATGCTTTAATCATGAATATATTGAGTGGCATGCAGAGGTACTTTGCTATTAGGATATGAGTATCCTTATTTTAACTTCATGGCCTTTTTAATGTTTTTGTATCTAATAAAAAACTTTTTAGATGTGCTTTGGTTTAGAAGAGCTGCTGGTAGTCATAGAGGAATTATTGTGTGCTGTAGTCCCTCTAAGGTCATCAGCAGACTGCTCATCGGGTGAAGCAGCTTGTGAAAGCTGCAAGGAGGAACCGCATTATGTTCTGGTGCCATCTGAACTGGAGGGGGACCCGACCGTACTGTAAAAAAATAGTAAGTTTACAGGGTCCATCTTTTGTTTTCTTCTTTCCCATAGTAGCAGTCGGGTAGCGGGACAAATTGGAGCTGTTAGGAAGGTAGAGTGAGTACTCTGTCACTGTAGATAATGCCTCAGATTCGCTGTGTTATCAGAGCCTCTCTAAAGTGTGACCATCTTCCCCGACGCCAGGCCATGCCCCCTCGAGTTATTTACCTTTTAAGAATTAATTATTGGTCTATGGTTTTATTTATTTTATATTCAAAATATTTTTGATGCACTTTAGTAGAAATTGTTGATATTGATGCACTTTAGTATCTATCTATTATGCACTTTAAGAGGGATTAATGTTGGTACACTGATAGCTGTCTTGAATTGATAGTGCTGTGCACTTTGCTCTATATCTATAAGTGACTGCACTTTAACTACAACAGCTTCATGTATTCATTTTAGATTAGTTAAATTGGAATTGCATTTATTCACACTAGCTAAATACTGTATAATGGCTACTGCATAAATAATGAAAATAAATACTATACCATAAGAATGTAACATTCCAAGGGTTGCAGACCATGCATCATGGACAAAACAAAGGTGGGTGGGGGGAAAGGGGGGAGAGAGGGAGGATGAACATAATCAAATGGTAACCTAATACAATCAAATCCTCACATTATAACATTGGCATCACTAAAATAGAGGATATGTCAATAGTAGTCCATAAAAACAGAGCATTTGCATATCCCCCAAATATTCTAATATTCACAGGGCTTCAGCATCCAGGACAGTCATAATGAGGTTCCTGACTCACAGCATATACTAATAGTTATATGTATTGCTGAGACCTTGAACACCCCACTTAGCAGCAGACCCTCCCAAACAATCACCAGGCTTCTTCCGAGATGATACCTGACAGAGTCCAAGGTTCCCAACTAGGAGTCTGGTCAAACACGGGCCAAGGGATCTGGCAAAGCACCCAGCTTCACCAAACATAGACCAAATGCGTCTAAAAAGACAGGTAAGTGCTCAGGCGTACGCACAATATAAGAGTGTCCATTCTGATGAGTCAGCAAGTGGAATGGGTACCCCATCTATATGTAATACCTGCCGCTGTCAAAGTATGCATCAACGGGCCTAAAGCTCTCCGCTTTGTGTGAGTTCCCTTAGATGTCAAGGAAAAAGGTTATCCCCATTGAAATCAAGGGATCCTTTCCTCCCTGGTTTTCAATAAAATTGCCTCCTTCTGTTTAAAAAAGTGAACTCTGCACAAAACACCCCCCAGTCTGCATAGTATCAGGCTTCTGAAAACCAGGAACATGATGTACACAATTGATTTCAATGAGATCTGTCCTCGGGTTGCCTAAAAGGGTGCTAAAGATACCTTGGACTGTCAGTGATAGCTCCGCGGTTGCCGTTTTCTCGGCTATCCCCTGCAGCCCAATATTGTTCCTTCAAGGCCTATCTTCCAAACCATCCACACAAGACAACAAATTCCAGATCCGAACATGATATTCCCAAACTGTCTCACTGAGGAATAGCTGATAAGTAAAGGTGTAGCCACAGCTTTAAGTGTGTCTGCTCTCTCGTGGAATCCTTGCAGATCAGCTCAGATCTCCGCCATATCTCTCCTGTACAAATCTCCCATACACTGGAACATTGCTTCCAAGTCTTGTTTGGTGGGGAGGAGGGAGAAATATTTCCCCATAGGACCGGACAAATTAAACTCTGCACACTCACTGTCTGATTCTGGCCCCCTGTTGTCACATCTGTCCGGCTTCACTTCTGGGAAAACACATGCTGGCCGGAGAAAGCACATCTGAGGCAGCACCCCTATAGCCGGAGGTAAGCCAAACACAATCCCATTGTAGAGTGCTGTTACTCTAATGCTGGCAGCTTGCTTAAAAGAAGGGAAAGCATATGGATGACATCATCAGTGTGCTGCTTCAGCGAGATAACAAACTTTAGCAGATTGTTTTTTTTTGTACAGTTACAAGACAGATGCCTGTGGAATGGCACGCATGGATGGCACTTGCAGCTATAATTATTATGTTATCAAACTTATCTATGATTCAAAGTGTACTTATACATAAGCACTGTACTACCTGTAGAATGTATCTGACAAAAACTATATTTTATCCAGTGAGTCTTTAGTTACACTAAGTATTGTTTGGGGGCTTATTGATAAACTGTTTGCTCAGCTCTTTACTTATACAACCATGAATTGCAGTGCTGTATGGCCTATAGCACCATCTTGTGGCCATACAACACATACATTAGCCCTTGGTCTTTGCATATCTACAGTTTTTCTTGTCATCAGTTTTATATTAGTTACAGAGCACATTTTTATTTTGGTTTTGTTTCAGGATCTTCATTGATCATTTTACATTTCCATAATGATTTTGCAATAAAATGTTGCACTTTATTTAGGCTGCAGATATAATAGAATTTTTCTGTGTATCATTTCATTTTACACTGATAATAAGGGGAGTCCACTTGTTAAATGGACAATATGTTTTCCTTAATACACCTTTCAGGGTTTGGCAGCAATTGTACAATTTCAGAGATCTCGACGTTTATTAGGCATCTGTTACATTGTTGTGAAGGTAATTTATAAATTGTTAAACTGCTTTTCATGTTTTCTTTGTACATCTTGTAAATTATTATTTAAAATGGTTTTACATCTGTCAATGTAAATTGTAAAATGGTAAAATGATGAAAAACACACAATTCAGTACAGTGCAAGTCCTTACTGGAATTTGGCCACTGTCTAATAACACCAATGTTATAATGCATATTCATTGTTTTAAATGATTACCTCTGCTACCCCTGAATAGGACAACTATGCATCCCAAGTACAGTGTTTAGCAGTGTTGCTGCTTCGATTGATAGTGGGCTGTGCCTGCAGACATGTAGATCAGCGGCAGCATTGCTCATTGAAAACAAGTTAGTTTAACCCCTGCATGACCGAGGCCTTTATTTCCCCCATCTTTTGTTTACATGTTATAATCCACATTTTAGGCCTTAAAATTACTTAAAACCCCCAAACAGCATTCCCTCTGCTCCCACTCTCCCCCATATCCCCTCTGGTCCCACTCTCCCCTATATCCCCACTCTCCCCCCATCTCCCCTCTGCTCCCACTCTCCCCCATATCCCCTCAGAAGCTGGCAGAGCAGTTCAGGTGAGTATACCTTAGTGTTTTTTTGTAAACCTAGACATAAACGAGCAGTTAACCCTTCCAGTGGGGCTACCCCACAATTCATTGAGTTCTGCTATAATAGTGCATGACCTGAACCCATGTATTTGGAAAAGGGACAGCCTGAAACATCTATAGGAAAGAGTGAATTAAAGTGAGACAAACAGAACCTAGAAAGCCGAGGGAAGGCTGAAAGAGAAAGGAGAGGCAACTGAATCGGTACAACTGAGGAGGTGTGGTAAAACAGCGGTTAAAGTGGAGGAATTGCAAGTGAGAAGAAACAGAGTAATTGAAGAAGGCATTGAATACTCAGCTTATGTACCTGATCCAGCCAGGGATAGATATTGTTATGCAGTCAGATAACGACAAACCCAGAACACTCAACATGTTGCATGTCTCTAAGGAAGCTACTTTGCTGTGCAATGTGTTGAGTGACCTGGGGTCATCATCCTATTACAAAAGCCAGTTATTGACTGCTGGAAATGATTTTCTGCATTATGACGGTTGTGAATAGTGTTGGGACCTGCAGCAACAGGGAATCTCAATTGTTGTTTTTTTTTTTTTTAATCATTGTTACAGTTTTTATGTTTAAGGTCTGCAATAATTTAGTAAGCTTTTGTTTGTGTCAGGTAACTCACTTTTGTTTCCTGTTTCCAAAAGGTTTCTTTATTAGTGGTTGTAGAAATCGGTGTTTTCCCTCTCATTTGTGGATGGTGGTTGGATATATGCTCATTGGTGAGTATAGCTTGACATGTTCATGTATTTAGGTAGCATGAGTTGCCTAATCTTTGCCTGGTAATCTATTAGTTCAGAGCTGTTGTGTTTCCTGAAATCACAGGGAACCTGAGGTATGAAAGTGTGTTATCAAGAAAATGTATTTTTACTCATAGCAAGCAATTAGCTTTCAACTAACTTGTTAGTGACTGGATGTGACTGTGACTACCAAGTGACTGGATGGGTACCAAGTGACTGGCGTAAAGCTACGGTAGTACCAATATTCAAAAAAGGTTCAAGATGCCAACCTGGGAACTACAGACCAGTCAGTCTAACATCAAAAGTATGCAAACTGTTTGGGGGAATGATAAAGGACTATTTAGGGGATTTTGTTTGTGACCATGGTATAATAATAATCAACATGGATTTATGGAGGACCGTTCTTGTCAGGCCAACCTGAGCCAGGCCAACATTATTTGAAGAGGTGAGTAGAGATCTGGATAGAGGAAAGCCAGTGGATGTTGTGTACCTGGATTTTGCAAAAGCATTTGTCACAGGACCACATAAACGCTTAATACACAAGCATAAATCTACGGGGATAGATGAAATGGTGTGTAAATGGATAGAAAACTGGCTACATGAATGGGTCCAGAGATTATTGATAAATTACTATTTTTCACATTGGTCTAAGGCTGAGAGTGGAGTGTCCCAGGGTTCTGTGCTAGGCCCCATACTATTTAACCTGTTTAATGATATTGGGGAAGGTGTTAATAGCTGTGTTGCTGTGTTTGCAGACGACACTAAAATTGGGAGGGTAATGGACACGGGATTAGACATTATAGCATTACAGAAGGACCTGGATAAAATAAGGGAGTGGGCAACTATGTGGCAGATGAGGTTTAATGTTGAAAAATGTAAAGTAATGCATTTTGGGGTTAAAAACAGGCAAGTGGAATACACATTAATGGGTACTCCACTAGGGAAGTCAGAAATGGAAAAAAGATTTTGGGATCATTGTTGACCACAGGTTGGATAACAGCATGCAATCCCAGGCTACAGGAAACAAAGCTAGCAGAGTGCTGTCATGCATTTAAAAGTGAATGTACTCTAGAGACAAAGCAATCATTTTGGCACTTTATAAATCACTGGTGCGACCTCATCTTGAGTGTGCGGTTCAGTTTTGGTCACCAGTCCACAGAAAAGATGTCCTTGAGCTGGATAGAGTACAGAGAAGAGCATCAAAGCTGAATTTAAACTTGTTCACGCTGGAAATTAGGAGATTAGGAGGGGACGTGATTTTGATGGATAAAAGATTTAACCACAAAGGGCTTAGGTGTTTCTTTGCAGTTAGAGCTCTCTTCCGCAAGCAGTGGTATCTGCAAAGAATATTGATTTGTTCAAAATCAATTAGATACCATCCTAAGAGACCGTAACATACAGGGGTACAGGTACTCATGACTGAGGCCCTTTTTTCATTTTTTGCACCCATGTTATATTCCACATTTTAGGCCTGAAAATGACGTAAAACCCCCCAACATTATATATTTTCTGAATGCCAAGACCCTATAGAATAAAATGGTGGTAGTTGAACATTTTTATGTTGCGCAATATTAGCGCAACTCCTTATTAAATCCCAAAATTTAGTGACAAATTTAATTAAATGCCCCAAAACACAACAAATTACCCATTTTTTTAATGAAATATAAAAGATGAGGTTACAACGAGTAAAACGATACCCAACATGCCCAGTTTACAGATTGCGTGCGACCGTGAAACGGCGAAAAACTGCAGTACCCCAAAAAGTCAATAAAAGACACTTTAAAAGCCCCCACAGGTCATCAATTTAGAGATACCCCAAAATACTGGCCCTAGAATTATTGCTCTCACTCCGGCGTGCGCGGCGATACCCAACATGTGTAGCGCGTTCATCGTTTTCATGCGTAGGCGCACCCGACGCGTGTTTACGTGGCGACTCGCGGGGGCGGGGGACTTTTAAATTTTTTTTTATTATTATTAGATTTATTTTATTTCATTTTAATTTTAAAAACTGTTTTTTTTTTTTTTTTTACTTTACTTTGACTGCTATCACATGGGGGGGCTTGCAAGCCCCCCCATGTAATAGCAGATGGTGGTGACAGGTCCTCTTTAAGGTGATGCTGGGGGTCCAAAAGACCCTCAGTGTCACCTTTACACTAGAAATAAGCTATTGAAGTGCAGATCGCACTTCAATAGCTTATAGCTGGGCTGCAGGAGCCCAGAACTGACAGCCCAGGGACCGGAAGTGATGCAATCTGCATCGCTCCCGGTCCCATAGAACGGGGAGGGGATCGATGAACGGAAGTTCGTCGACCTCCTCCCCAGCTCCCCGCGGACACAAAGATCGCCGGTCCCGGGCCCGTAGGAGGGGCAACGGAGCCCGGGAAGCACGGCGGGGGTGTCCGGCGGGGGGGGCGGCCCCTTCTTCGGGACGCAGAAGCGATCTGGCGACAGGTAAGTCGCCAGGATCGCTTCTGTTGTAAAGCCGACAGTCGGCTCTACAAGTTTAAACAGACTCCCGGCGGCAAAAGTCGCCGGGAGTCTGTTTAAACAGCCCCGATGCTGGCGACGTACACTGTACGTCGTCAGTCACGAAGGGGTTAAATACTAGACCACACAGAGACTCATATACGCATGCACAGCTCACGCACAAACACACAAAGGTTGAACTTGATGGGCCTGTGTCTTTGTTCAACCTCAAATACTATGTAACTACTATTCCTGCAGTTTAGATTTTAAAAGGAAACACCTTCTTATTGGTTGCTATGGACAGCAGCAAATGTTATCGCTAGTGAACATGTGGTACATGAAACCAAGATTGATTCAATTTTTGTTACAGTCCACAGAAGGTCAAAGTATTCCATATTCATGAACTGTGGATTATAATGCCACCAATTGGAGGATTGAACTGTGGGGCAAAAAAAAGTTAAGGCCAGCCGCTGTTATGGGAATTCACTTGGGCTGTGCGCACAAATCTCTGCTGCGCTAAGAGATACACTTTCGGCATTAAGGTGCGCCAAGCACAAATAATTCCTTTGCACTTAAAAGCACGTTGTATTCAGCTCTTTTGTATAAGGAAAATAAGTACTTCGGTAGTGTGTAACCGCCCGCAGGCGTGGGAAAACGAAGCAGCGGCGTCTCGCCGCTTCCGCGTTCCAGGGTGGAATGCATCGGCCTGCGTTTCAGTGAGGGGGCATGACTGCGGTGATCCTCTTCCTGGTGTGTTCCACTGTGTAACGCACTCTCACCGCTGGACGTCCCCGGAACCCCTTACATAGTGCCAGATAGTCAGACAAGACGCTGCTTCAAACTGGAGGCTCAGTGTGTAAGTCCTATCTTGGCCACGAGCATCTCCGTTTATTAAGAGGCAAAAGGATAACGCCCAGAGGGAGATGGCTTTACAACATCAGCCAATCAGCCCAAAATGTACAGTTACATAACAAAAGAAAAGGGGAGTGCACCACTGTGGATGTGCAGAGAAATGTGCATGACTCACTAGCGCTGGTGCACGCAAATGCGCGCACCCTTGTTAAACAAAGGAAATGCGCGCACGGAAATTCGTGCCATTAGACTATGATGTGCTGAGTCATGTTCATTGCCCTGATCAGCCACGTGTATGCACATCTGCCATCTTAGCCAGCATGGACCCCATTCAATACTGCTCAGATTGACCAGTATCTATTAAGATCATTTTATTTGTTCATACAGATTTGAGACTATTTGCGGAGACATTGCTAATGCTATTGCCAGTGTACGGTACCAGTACACCAGCAAGGCATAAGTCAATGTATTCTCATTAAAGCAGATATGTATCCACAAAAGGATAGCGCAGCCGCAATAGAAATATAATATGTATCTCTCGTTATGCGGACTCCGCTAATGCACATAGACGTTCGCTGGCAATAAGCCCAGCACATTGCGCTTGATGCTTACAAACCGGCAAATGTGTACATACACTGCGAACACGTCTCCAAACCCATAAGAAGGTTTTCCTACTGATGGTTTTACAGCTGGGCCCGATTCAACCCAAGTACGCTCTGCTGAAGTGTCCCTCGGTTAAATCCAACACAGGGAGACAGATGACAACCTATAGAACACACACACACACACACACACACACACACACACACACCCTAATATAAAAATGTCCACACAAGTCCATATAATGAAATTTCCACAACACCCCTAAAAGCAATAACTTTTCAAGGTATCCTTTCAATTTTGGCTTACTGTCCTTAAGAAGAATGGACATCTTTCTTCAGCTCTTCTAATGTTCTAAGATGTTGTGGGAATGTTTCTTCATTAAATTGTTGCTGGTAAAATTAGGCCGGATGCTAAATCCTGGAAGTCTCTGCAGTCAGCCATTGGGTGTTTTAACATTGATGATATCACTGTGACTGTTCCTGTTGTGAAAATACCTGCACAATCCTCTGCACAGTGTTCTGCCTCCTCTGCTATTTCAGCCTAGTCTGAGGATTTACTGCAGTGCTACCTGTTCTGGGTCCTGATATGTGGCAGTTGCTTTGCCTAAACCTGTCTATGAAGAATTGGTTCCCATGTGAGTAGGCTGGGTGTATCCAAATCCTCCCCCTCCCCATTTATTCCCCCAGGAGCTTGTGTGCAATTCTTACATAGACTAATTCTTACTGTGTACGTGGATAGAGAACTGGCTACGGGAACGGGTCCAGAGTTTATCTGATGCTGTAAACAAAGTCCTGTATTAAAAAGGGGATGTATTGCAGGGACAAGTCTTTGCAGGGACAAGTCTATAATTTTGCCATTGTATAGATCATTGGTTCGACCTCATCTGGTCGAACGACCTCATCTGGTCACCAGTACTAAGAAAAGATGTCCTTGAGTTGGAAAAAGTCCAACGGAGGGCAACCAAACTAATTAGGGGTATGGAGGACCAGAGCTACGAGACAAGGCTACTAAATTTAAACATGTTCACATTGGAGGTGAGGAGATTAAGGGGGGATATGATC